TAGACAAAAAATTAACAAGGAAACAGAGACTCTAATTGAAGCAGCAGACCAAATGGATATAATAGATATCTACAGAGAATTACATCTCAAAACTACAGAATTCACATTCTTCTCAAGTGCACATGGGACATTCTCAAAATTAGACCACATGTTAGGACACAAACTAAATCTCTACAAGTTCAAGAAGATTGAAATCATATCAGGCATCTTAGATCACAATGGCATGCAACTAGAAATCAATTGCAACATGAACATGCAAAGACATTTGAACACATGGAGGCTAAATAGCATGTTATTAAACAATGCATGGATTATCAAGGAGATCAAGCAAGAAATTAAAAACTTCCTGGAAACCAATGAAAATGAACACACAACAACACAAAATCTATGGGAGGGAGGGATGTTCTGAGAGGGAAGTTTATAGCACTACAGGCCTACCTCAAGAAACAAGAAATATTTCTAATAGACTAACCTCACAACTTAAAGAACTAGAAAGCAAACTAAAATAAAACCTCAGAGCAAGTAGAAGGAAGGAAATAGTAAAGATCAGAGCAGAAATTAATGATATAGAGAACAAAAAAAAAAAACCACAAAAACAATTCAACGGATCAGTGAAACTAAGAGCTGGTTCCTTGAAAAGATAAACAAGATTGATGAACCTTAAGCCAGACTCATCAAGAAAAAGAGGACCCAAATAAAATCAAAAATGAAAGAGACAGAGTAACAATAGACATAACAGAAATAGAAGGAATTATAAGAAGTTGGACAGCAACAATTATAGTAGGGGACTTTAACACCCCACTATCATCATCATAGATCTACTATGGATAACTATATGCCAACAAACTTTACAACCTGGGCAAAATGAACAGACTCCTAGAAACATACAATTTTCCAATCAGGAAGAATCAGAAAACCTGAATAGACTGCTAACAACTAATGAAATTGAAGCAGTAAAAAAACAAACAAAGAAAACCTCCCAGCATACAAAGGTTCTGGACCACATGGCTTCACATCCCTCTCCTCTCTCCCCTCTTTCTTCTCCCTGCTCCCTTCTCCCCCCTCCCACTCCTCTCTCTCTCTCTCTCTCTCTCTCTCCCTCTCCTTCATTCGAAGAACTAACACCTATCCTCCTCAAACTATTCAAAAAAATTCAAGAGGAAGGACTTTCAGGCTCTGTTTTACGAGGCTAGCATTATTCTAATTCTAAAACCAGATAAAAACAATACAAAGGAAGAAAATTATAGACAAATATTCCTGGTGAACATAGATACTGAAATCCTCAACAAAATATTAGCAAATCAGATCTATAAATACATTAAAAAGATCATACATCATGACAAAGTAAAATTTATCCCTGGGATGCATGGCTGGTATAAAAATCTACAAATCAATTAATGTGATACATCATATAAACAAAATGAAGGATAAAAATTACATGGTCATATCAATAGACACAGAAAAAAGCATTCAACAAAACCCAGCACCCATTTATGATAAAAACTTTCAGCAAAGTGGGAATATAGAGATCATGCCTCAACATAGTAAAGGCCATATATGATAAACCTACAGCCAACATCATACTCAGTGAGCAGAAACTAAAAGTGTTTCCCTGAAACAGGAATGAGACAGGGATGTCTACTTTCACCACTCTTATTGAACATAGTACTGGAAGTCCTAGCCACAGCAGTTAGACAAGAAGAAAAAATAAAAGGCATCTAAATTGGAAAGGAGGAAGTAAAACTCATTTGCAGATGACATAGTATTATACATAGAAAACTTTAAACATTCCACCAAAAAAACTACTAGATTTAATAAATGAATTTGACAAAGTAGCAGGATACAAAATTAACATCCAGAAATTGATGGCATTTTTATACATCCATAATGAACTCTCAGAAAGGCAAACAAAAAGCAGTCCCATTTACCACTGTAACAACAAAAATAAGATACCTAAGAATATACTTAACCAAGGAGATAAAAGGCCTGTACTCGGAAAACTATAGGATATTTTAAAAAAATAGAGGAAGATACTAACAAGTGGAAGCATGTACCATGTTTATGGATAGGAAGAATTAACATCATTAAAATGTCCATACTACCCAAAGCAATTCAGTGCAATTCATATTGAAATACCATTGGCATATTTCACAGATCTAGAACAAATGTGCCAAAAATTTATATGGAACCAAAAGAGACCCTGAGAAAGCAGAACAAAGTTGGAGGGATAACAATACCAGATATCAAACTATACTCCAAAGGCATTGTAATCAAAACAGCCTGGTACTGACACAAGAACAGGAATATAGATTAATGAAACAGAACAGAGACACCACAAATCAAACCATGCCATTATTGTCAATTAATATTTAGCAAAGGGGGCAACAGCATACATTTCAGTAAAGACAGTCTCTTTAATAAATGGTGTTGGGAAAATTGGACAGATACATGCAGAAAAATGAAACTAGACCACCAACTTACACCTTACACAAGAATAAATTCAAAATGGGTAAAAGAATTAAATAAAGTCACAAAACCATAAAAATCCTAGAAGAATACATACGCAGAAAAATCTCAAACATCTCACATAGCATTGTTTTCTCCTATACATCATCTAGGGCAAGAGAAACAAAGGCAAAATAAACAAATGGAGCTACACCAAACTAAACACTTTCTGCACAGCAAAAGAAACCAACAAAATGAATAGGGACCCACTGTATGGAGCATATTTGCCAATGATACATCTGATAAGGGGTTAATTCCCAAAATACATAAAGAACTTCCACAACTCAACACTAGGAAGACAGACAAACTAATTACAAAGTGGGCAAAGGACCTCAATAGACACTTCTCCAAAGAGGACATACAGATAGCCAATGGACATGAAAAAATGTTCAACGTCACTAATCATGAGAGAGATGTAAATTAAAACTACAGTGAAGTGTATTACCTCACACCTGCCAGAATGGCTTTCATCCGTAAATCAACAAACAACGCATGCCGGGGAGGCTGTGGAAAAACGGAACCCTTGTGCACTGTTGGTGGGAATGCAGGTTGGTACAGCCACTGTGGAAGACATTATCGAGTCTCCTCAAAAAATTAAAAATGGAACTGCATTATGATCTAGCAGTTCCATTTCTGGGAATATATCCTAAGAATCCCAAAACACAAATCAGAAAGAATATATATACCCCTCTGTTCATAGCAGTGTTATTCACAGTAGCTAAGATCTGGAAGCACCCCAAATGCCCATCAGTAAATGAGTGGTTAAAAAAAAGCTATGGTAGCCCTGGCCGGTTTGGCTCAGCGGTTGGAGCGTCGGCCTGCGGTACAGAGAGACCCGGGTTCGGTTCCCGCTAAGGGCACGTACCTCGGTTGCAGTTTGTCCCCGGCCCTGGTTGGTCGTGCGGGTGGCAGCCACTCGATGTGTCCCTTCGCATCGATGTTTCTCTCTCTCTCTCTTCCTCTCTCTCCCTCCCGCTCTATCTGAACAAAAAATGTCCTCGGGTGAGGATTAAAAAAAAAAAAAAAAAGCTATGGTACATTTATACAATGGAATCTTATGCAGTTATAAAAAAAAGGATCTCTTACCCTTTGAGATAGCATGAATGGACCTGGAGATTATTGTGCTATGTGAAATAAGCCAATCAGAGAAAGTCAAATATCACATGATCTCACTTATAATCCAATGAGCAAAATAGGTCCAGAGACATGGATGCACAGAACAGACTGATAGATCTCAGAGGGGAGGGGCAGAAGGGAACTGGAAGAGATTACCAAAGAACATACATGCATAGCCCATGGACACAGCCTGGAGTGGAGCGGGGGTTCAGTGGAAGGGGGCAGACGGGGCAAAATGGGGGACGTCTATCTGTAATACTGTCATCAATAAAAAAGAAAGAAAAAGAGAAAATCTGAGCTGCACTTGAGGCCATAACTACCCATTTCAAACCATGCTAAAGCGATGCAAGGAGTTGAAAGAGCCCTGATTCTTAAAGCAGTCCTAGATTCAAGAACATTAGGCAATTGCGTTCAAGTGCCTGTGCCACATGAGGACAGGGCTTGGGACACAACTCTTTCAAAGGCGTTAACAACAATGAGTCATAGAACTAAATAATTGCTTTCTAAGCACTGACAATATTAAGGATATGGAAGCAGGAAATGGTTTTTAATGTATAAAGTTATTAATTGATATTACTAAAACAAAACATTTAACATTCACAAAGTTAGAATCCAATTACACTTATTTAATTGATTAAAGAGAGTAGATAGGATGAGAAAGAAAAGAGGGAAAAGAATTCAAAGTAACTAGTAAAGACAGCAAGCGGGAAGGTCAAGTAAAGCACAGGGAATATAATAACTACGGTGTCAAATGGGTAGTAGTAGACTTACTGGGGTGATCACTTTGTAAATTATATAGATGTCTAACCACGACGTTGTACACATGAAACTAATATAATATTGTATGTCAAATATTAACTGAAAATAAAAAATAATTTTTTAAAAGATAGGAAGGATATCAAAACAACGTGATTATAAAGATTTAGAAATATAAAGGTAAAAAGCAGAAGGAAGGTCAGATTATGTTTTATTCTTCTTCATGCATCGTTAAATAACAGTTGGGTTCATTCCAAAGACTAGAACATTTATTGTTAGTGATATAATTCAGAACAAACAGTATGTCTTCACAGATGACTTTTTTTTTTCAGAGACTAGATCAGAATGGAAGTGCAGAGAGTTCTAAAAACAAACTTACGTTGTCTGGCAAATGGAATACCTCAGATACATAATTCAAATAAATCTGTAACTAAAAAAAAGTAAAATAAAAATATATAAAATAGGTTGGGTTGTGTTCTTTTGTTGTTTTTTTTTATCTAAACTGGAAGAATATATAAATTGAGATTGAGCAAGTTTTTAGTCATGCTTAATATTATGCCCTGTTTCCAAGTATTATGGGGGTTGAAGACAACTGATGTGAACTTTTTTCTGTACTTCTCCAGGCCAGATGGAGACTACGTATCTTCACTCAATGGTGGAAACATTAAAGGCATTGAAGGAAACTCATCTGGACACTTACCAAAATTCTGCCATGAGTGTGGAACTAAATACCCTGTGGAATGGGCCAAGTTCTGCTGTGAATGTGGCATTCGAAGAATGGTTCTGTGAACAAAATCCCCAATGAACAAAAGCGAAGTCCAGAGTTTGATGACTATTGCTGCTTCTGGCTAGAGCACTTACTTCCTCTAGTCATTTTGTGCAAAAATTGTTACATTTTTTTTTTTTTTTTAGCAATTTTGGGGACATGATCCCCTGGCTATATAATATGTGTGTGTGTGTGTATATATGTGTACATATACTGTATATAATAAATACCTGATACCCCAAACTGTGCCATTCAAGGAAATACTTATCTGTTAGAAGAAAATTTCACATAGAATCATTAACTTAGGTATTATTCTTCTGTTGTTGTTGAAACACATTAAGTATACTATACACTCCTTCAAACTCTAGTGCTTAGCTCTTCAAACTTTAGGATGATCATTACTTTGAGCAAAAATTCAGAATAAACATTTTATTATTGGTGCCTATTTTCAGATAGTATCTATAATAAGATGAGATGTTTGGACTTTTGGAATCATTTTGTTTATTGGATTCCACATGTGAGTGAAATCATATAGTACCATATAATTTTTGTCTGCCCAAGAGTAGATAAATGAGCCACAAATAAGGTAGTACAGGTTTGTTTCTCACTGAATTTTATAGTAGCAAGGAAATGTTATAATGTACTACATGGAAAATAAATTCGTAAGATATCATCCAATCCCAGAGCACAGAGATTAATTATAAACAGGTGAAATATAGTCATGAATCATGAAACATGTTATGACAGTGTATTTAAATGCATTTTTTATATTATTTGCATATATCTTCTCACATTGATTTGTTGTGCAATAGTTTGGTTTTTAAGAAATTTTTCTAGATCTATGCATCATTTATATTTATTTTCACTAGTATTTGCCAGTGTGGTAGAATTTAAAAGTTTGTAAGCTTAAATTAAAATGTAAAAATGGCTTACATATTATTTTGAAAATTATTAGCTGGAAAAAGTAAGATTATTATAACTGCTGTTGTCTCCTGTTCAATCTATGTTTTTCATTACAAATACTTTTTCATTTTTGAACCTATTCAATAAAGACACTAAGCAAAAAAATTGCTAGTTGGTTTTCACTTACGACTCAACTTTTAGCCAGACATAGGTAGAAAGATAGGAACACACTGAAATATAAAGAAAATGTTTGAAGTCAAAATAGAGATTTTATAATATGAGAGCAGTTTTTGTGTGCCATCAACTGTCAAATATTATTTCATTGGTGTTTTTGACCTTAAAGATAAATATGTCTTGTCACATATTCTCAAGGCATTGAAACATTCTCTTCATAGCCATTAAAATTTAGCAACTGAAAGTATTGAGTGAAGTCGAGGTTGAAACACATTATGGATGTTTCTAATTAGGTAATACACAATCGAATGACAAAAAGTATTCATCTGTGATGAATACTTAATGGTTTAGACCATCATATTTAAATTTTTAAATGAGTTGTCTCTAGTTAAAATATTAGATTAGAGGTGTAATTTGTACTCAACTTTTCTTAGGCTAGAGGTGAACACTGCTACCATGAGTAGAAGCTCAGGAAAGGACAAAATAATGGAAGAGGTGTGCAGCTACAGAGTAGAACTCATGTCTATTTGTATTGCAGGTATAGGTATTTTGCATGGTAAGTACTAAGAAGATAGGTTGATTTTTTTCAACTGGTTGTATTATTGAATAGAGCAGTAGAGAATCATTAAAACAAAGTTAATGATAGACACACGTGTTTAGTCTCATTTAAAATTTTTTCCATTAAATGTTACTGTCAAGATACTCATTGATCACAGTTTTGCTTGCCTGTGCAACTGAATATGTGAATTGCTTTTATTGCCACTAGGGGGTGTTTTAGGATAATATTAACCAGCCCTCCATTATTTTAAAGGCCTCAGCAATATAGGTATGAATTTGGGATGGGGAAGGGGAATGGAATTACAGAGATTTATAAGAGGTTTTTTGTTTTGATTTTATAATCTATATGTTGATTTCTTAGAAACCTAGTCTAGCTCGTTTTAGGTACCAATATGCTTAAAAGTGGTAAGAAATATTTAATATTTACTTCACAGTATTTTGTTAGCAGTTATATATCATATTACTCATCCACATAACCAAGTACTCCCTGTTCTATTACTTTAATATTTTATCTTAGTTGTACAATAGTTATAATCTCCTTTAAGATGAGGCTTTTTTTTTTTCAATCATCTGGCCTAATTTAACATATGACAATGACCGATTTAAATAGAAGTGAAATAAAGCAATTAGAATAATGTAACATGCACAAATCAAAAACTTATAAACATTTAAAATATGCTTTGTATGGTTTTAATTCTGTAAGTGTTAAGAGAAATAAGATGTGATTAAGTTTCTGCCCTAAAGTTGATAAAATTTATTCGGAAAAGCTGATATAAAAACAGACGACTACAACTTAAGACAAAAAAAAGGATTTATTTTAATGGAACTTTTGTATATTATAAATGTACCAACAACATGCTGCAGAAGTGTTGAAAATGCAGCTTCTTTCTTATCACAAGTTAGGGGACCATTTCGTTTCCTACTTTTCTTCCTTGTCCCAGTGCTCAGTAGGAAGCCTGGGGGCATGTGAGCTGGAGCTGCACTAACTACTTTTTTTTTTTTTCATTTTTTCCCTTTATTTTTAGAGAGGAAGTTGAGAGGGAGAGATAAGAACATTGATGAGAGAGGACATCGATTGGCCGCCTCTTGCATGCCCCTCCACTGGGAGTTTGGCCCACAACCTGGGCATGTGCCCTGACCAGGAATCTAACCAGGGATCTCTTGGTGCATGGGCTGATGCTCACCACTGAGCCACACCAACCAGGCTGCACTAACTACTTAAGAAGGAAAGGCAAATGGCCGTGGAAAGGAGGAGGGTGTGGTGGGTCTGTCCAAGCTGTAAAATGCAGATGATTTCCCGTTGTACTGATGACGGAGAAAAAGCAATGTTGCATAAAAGTTACTAGTAATTGCATATAACTTCACTTTTACACTCCTTTATCTCTTTGCCCAAGCACCTCATTTTCTATCCTATTTTGAATTGGCAGCAATAAGGCTGGGAATAGGAGGTTGCCAGTAGTGCTGAATATACTCCACAGAAGTGCTGATTTTATTCATCAAATCAGCAATCTTGTAACACTGAAAACTGCCAAGGGGCATGAAGATCAAGGACCTTATCTACCTACAGTGGAAATATAAATTGTCAATTCTTTTTTTTTAAAGTTGACTTAATTTACCTTAATATAAAAGCCTTTAAAATATTCATGTCTCATAACCTAGTAATTTTATTTATAAGATGTATCTCTTGAGGGAATAATCTGAAGTATGGAAAAATATTTATGCAAAACACGTTTAATAGTACTGTTATTGGCCTCATGTACATTCTTGGTAATAAGGTATTAAAGGTTATATATTCAGTGAAAGAGACCAAATAGTGGGGCAATATTAAAAATCTTGTCCTAAAAAATCCTGTGGCTCACTAGTCATTAGGGAAATGCAGTTTTAAACCACAATGAGCAATGACCTCTGGCCATCATCAAAAAGACCGGAGGTGACAAATGCTGGCAAGGATGTAGAGAAAAGGGAACCCAAGTGCACTGTTGGTGCAGCCACTATGAAAAACAGTATGGAGGAGCTTAAAAAATTAAAAACAAAACTACCACATAATTCAGAAATTCCACTTCTAAGAATATATCCAAAGGACACAGAAACACTAACTCAAAAAGATAACTACACCTCCGTATTCATAATAACAGGCATGGAAAAAATCTAAGTGTTGATGCATGGATGGTTGAAATTGTGAATATTATTATTATATTATTCAGCCATAAAAAATGAGGAAATCCTACCATTTGTGATAACATGGATGGACTTTGAAGGCATTATGTTAAGTGACATAAGTCAGACAGACAAAGACAAATACTGTAAAATCTCATGTGTGGAATCTAAAAAGAAAAGCTCAAAGAGAAAGATGTTCTACTGGTTACCAGACATAGAGGGTGGGGGGCGGAGGAAATGGAAGCAGGTGGTCAAAAGGTACAAACTTCCAGCTATATGATAAATAAGTACTAGGGTTGTGATGTACAACACGGTGACTATAGCTAACACTGCTGTATGCTACGTAGAAAAGTTGTTAAGAGTCAATCCTGTAAGTTCTCATCACAAAGAGAAAATATTTTTCCTTTTTCCTTCCTTTTATTTTTATTAAATGAGAAGATGGGTGTTAGCTGAACCTATTGTGTTAATCATTTCATGATATATGTAAATCAAACCATCATGCTGTATGCCTTAAACTTATACAGTGATGCACGCCAATTATTTCCCAATAAAACTGGAAAAAATCCTATTGAGATTAAGTGAATCTGACAGTGTTAACACATAGGTCATTTATTATCAAATGAGAAATGTTATCCAAAGTAAGCAATTTGTTTGTAATACTGTATGAAAATATTTTTATATACAGATATAGTGTCAAAATTAAATACACACATTCCATGAATTAAAAAGAAAATATATATTATTCTCTTAAAAATATACTTCCCAAATTGCAAACTCATTTAGACAAGTTTTATTACACATAAATGACAGAAGAAATTCAGTACTATGGCTTAGCATCCTTGGAACAGAGGACTTGCTATTTTGTAAAATATTTTATTTTCATTTTAAAACATTTGCTATGCCAACTATTGGAGGGACTGTGTTATACATTCATGTTTAATTACATGTCGTGATACCCCTCTTAAGCATCTTGGACTCCTTTATGTTTCTGCTTTAAGATACACGACTCTTCTTCACCTGGGCATTATCCACATCTCACTGTTAACTCTGAAGCATTTCCGGCCCAGAAGACAACAACTTCCACGCTCATTGTAGTATACTGATGCGTAGCAGGCCATAAAGTTATTTGGATGATAAAGCAATGTTAATTTTTAATCCTTGTAACCTTTGTATATGTCATGAACTTGACATATCTTCTGAAATTTTTTAACAGGTCTGAAAATGTTTTATTGCAGCTAATACCCTACATGGATCATCTTATAAAAATCAACCCAAAATTAACACTAGCTGATATATGTCCACTTACACATGAAAGAGTTTGTTGATTGCAGCATTCAGTTTCCATTGTTTGTGTCCCTTCTAGTACCACAGTATGTATTTCTCAATTGCTCTAACCCATTTTTACCAGGACGCATTCAGTAACTTCTAGGAGGCGTTCTGTCCCCAAAAAATTGCACGAGCAGGTTGATTCCTGAAGGATGCAACCCTAGTTCATGTTTTTATATGGCCATGCCATATTTTTCAATGTTCTTTAGTGCCGCTCAAAATTTTATTCCAACAAGTTTTTATCTTTTCTAGTAGTATCTTTAGGAAACACATTTCATCCTGTTTTTTCTGTTCCTTTGAAGATTTTTTCTCTTCCTACAGAAATATAAATATAAAATTTTTAATTCACATTTTTATAAAATGACATGTTTTCAAATATTCAATCTTTAATTCCCATTATCTTATGTTCTACTGAAAATCCAGTGTCATGGAAAAGGAGAATCTTGCATGATATTTTTAAACTATGATTTCTAACTCTGGTTGTGACAATATATAGGAAATTCAAGGTTGGCATGGTTTAAGATTTAGAATTCATTGAAGAGCTATGTCGGGCGGCTGCAACAGTGAGAAATATATTTTGTGAGAAATATATATTTGTGAGAAATATATATTTTGTGAGAAATATATTTGTAAATTACTCAATACATTTTCTAATATGGGAAAAATGTATGTTTTATGGAAGGAATAGTTAACACTGAAAATAGGCAAAGGATTTTGGCAAAGATGATTACTAAGGATGTACCTCAGTGAGCTCGTGCCCTAAAGGTCCACCCCGTGTGCACCTGCCTCATGAGCTAATTTTAATTTGCTGATGAAAATCCTAAAACGTTTCCTGTACAACCCACAGAAAGTGGAGAGACACCTCACGTGGAAGAGACATACAGGGGGGCAGCTTTGCCTGTACTCTGTTAAAGTCCTGTGAGCCCCTGGGAAGTGGGTTTGGTACAGTGCAGGGGAATTTTTCATTGAGACAAGAACCAACTATTGGGTAATTTCTAGATCAGATGTTGTGCTCAGTGCTTCACATACATTATTTCATTGTATCTACTTAACTCTATGAAATTGCTGATTTTGCCTCCTTTCACAGATGAGAAAACAGCTACAAAGAGAGTAAATAAGCCAACACAGTCACATGTCAAGTCAGTATAAAGACTGGGTCTTGAGCTCAGCTGTTCTATTTTTAATTAAGTCACGGATTCAGATCTCTTTTGGGTGTGTATTTAGTAACATTGACACATAGCCTTGAAATCATCCATTCAAAAGATCAGATAACAGATACCAAAGATAAATATGAAGGAAAATATCTCACAGACTTTTTAATGAGGATCCCAGGACATATTTAAAATGTAGGTTTATGTGACCAAGCAGATGTGAAATACATAGATGTGAAAATTTTATGACTTTTCCTCACAGACCAAGATTGAATAGTCATTAAAAAGACAAAACAAAGGACCATCATTTTATTTCTGTAATCCTTAGAACATAGATGTTACCTCCCTTTTGTATGTTTCTTTTCAAATTCTCTTCTTTTTATTGTTGTCCTCATGTTCTTTCTTTTTTCAAAATTATATTTATTGGGGTCACATTGGTGAATATGATTGTCGGTTTCCAGTGTATATTTCTATGGTACATGACCTGAACACTGCATTGTGTGCCCGCCACCCAAACGTTCTTAGCAGAAGCCCACAGTGTACTGATATTGCTCATGTATTCGTTTCAATCAAATCTGCCACTTAAAGTGGAATTCCTACATTTCCTGAGTCCCAGGGTGAGCAAGCTAACCCACTTCTCTAAGAGGGATAAGGAATGTTCATGTTCCCATGTATCTATTGCTCAAATGACATTATAATAATAATGGAAATATGAAAGGAGAACCCATCATTCTTATGAACCAGATGTGTTCATTTGTACATATCCTTTCCTAGTTAATATTGATATCATTTTAATGTTTAATCAAATTTAATTATCCTGAGTTTTTAATTCATGTTTATTGCTATATACTTTTGTGCAATATTTACTAGTATAAATATTTAATATATAGAATATTTACATACATATATAGTATATATTGTATACTCTATATTAATAAAATAGGTACAAAATGGGTTCTCATGAAAAAATTTTTTTTTTCCTGTATTGATTTGAGAGAGAGAGGAAGTGAGAAGAAAAGAGAGAGAGAGACATCAATTGGCCACCTCTTGAATGCCCCCCACTGGGGATCTGGCCCACATCCCGGGCATATGTCCTGACCAGGAATTGAACTGGTGACCTCTTGGTGCATGAGTCAGAGCTCAACCACTGAGCCACACTGGCCAGACAGGTTCTCATTTTTAATCTGTATTTCTTTGCTAACGATCAGAGAGGGCTTTTGTGTTTTCTTCATATGCTTGTTTTTATAGTTTAGTTTCTCCTATATAATTTGTTCATGTTTTGCCTATTACCTATTGATGTTTCAATTTTGTTGCTTTAAAAAAAAATTAATACTCTGATATTTCCACTAGCTTTTTTTTATTTTAAAATAGTGGTTTTTTGGCCTGGCCAGTATGGCTCAGTGGATTGAGCATCATTTCATGGACTGAGAGGTCCCTGTTCAGTTCCTGGTCAGGGCATGTGTCCAGGTTGCAGGCTCGATCCCTGGTGGGGGGCATGAAGGAGGCAGCTGATCGATGTATCTCTCTCACATTGATGTTTCTATCTCTCTCTCCCTTCCTCTCTCTCCAAAAAATCAATAAAAACATTTTTTAAAATTTTAAATCGTGTTTTAAAAAAAAACAATTTAAAGCAATCCAATTTCTAAGAAGTACCTTCTTGCTACTTTTATTAACATTATAATGACTATTTTCAAAACCAACCATCAAAAAGAAAATTCAAAGAGAAACATTAAGGAATTAAGTAAAAAGCTGATGAAGAAAGAAAATTATATAATTATTCTCACCAAATTCTTAGTGGGTTGAGCTTCACCCAGGGAAGGTTGTTTTTTTTCTTTATCCTTAAAAACAAAGTTATATTTACAACATTGAATAATAATTCTTTATTGCTTCTCCCATTAATGTAATTGCTAAATTTCATATACTCTCAGCTCATCTAATTTTTTTTTTTGACACTCTACTTTAAATTATTTACTGTTAGTACTGTGGAATACTAATTTGGTTTAGAAGTAGAATACAGGCATACCTCATTTTATCACGCTTCGCCTTATTGCGCTTCCCAGATAATTGCATTTTTTTTTACAAACTGAAGGTTTGTGGCAACCCTGCACTGAGCAAGTCTATCGGCGCCATTTTTCCAACATTGCTTTGCATCTCTATGTCACATTTTGGCAATTTTCTCAATATTTCAAATTTTTCCATTATTATTATTATATTTGTTATGGTGATCTGTGATCAGCGATCTTTGATGTTTTACTATTGTAATTTTTTTGGGGTGCCACGAACTATATCCATGTAAGGTGGTGAACTTGACGGATAAATGTTGTGTCCGGACCAGCCATTCCTCTGTCTCACTCCCTCTCCTTGGGCCTTCCCATTCCCTGAGACACAACTGTACTGATTTAGGCCCATTGATAACCCTACAATGGCCTCTAAGTGTTTAAGTGAAAGGAAGAGTTGCGTGTCATTCACTTTAAGTCAAAAGGTAGAAATAAGTAAGTCTCGTGAAGAAGGCATATCAAAAGCCAAGGCAGGCTGAAAGCTAGGACCCTTGCCCCAAAGTTAGCCAAGTTGTGAATTTCCATCCTTGAAGGAAATTAAAAGTGCTACTCCAGTAAATACACGAATGATAAGAAAGCACAGCAGCCTTATTGCTGATAGGGAGAGGTGGACTGGATAGATCAAACAAGCCACAAAATTCCCTTAAACCAAAACCTAATCCAGAGCAAGGCCCTAACTCTCCTTACTTCTGTGAAGGCTGAGAGAAGTGAGGCAGCTGCAGAAGAAAAGTTTGAAGCTAGCAGAGGTTGGTTCATGAGGTTTAAGGAAAGAAGTCCTCTCCATAGCAATAAAGCGCAAGGTGAAGCAGCAAGTGCTGATACACAAACTGCAGCGAGTTATCCAGAGATCTAGTTCAGATAATTAATGACGATGCCTACACTGGACAACAAAATTTCAATGTAGATGAAACAGCCTCATTTTGGAAGAAGATGCCATCTAAAACTTTCCCTACTAGAGAGAAGTCAATGCCTGGCTTCAGAGCTACAAAGGACAGGCTGACTCTTGTTAGGAGTTCATGCAGCTGTGACTTTTAGTTGAAGCCAATACTCACTTACCATCGTGAAAATCCTAGGGCCCTTAAGGATATGCTCAATCTACTCTGCCTGTGCTCTATGAATGGACAACAAAGCCTGGATGACTGCACATCTGCTTACAACATGATTTGCTGAATATTTTAAGCCCACTGTTGAGACCTGCTACTCAAAAAAAAAAAAGATTCCTTTTGAAACATTACATTGACAATGCACCTGGTCACCCAAGAGCTCTGATGGAACTAGATAACGTGATTAATGTTGTTTTCATACCTGTTAACACAACAGCCATTCTGCAGTTCATGAAACAAGGAGTAATTTCAACTTGCAAGTCTTATTATTTAAGAAATACATGTCAAAAGGCTATGGTTCCCATAGAGAGTGATTCCCTGATGTATCTAGGCGAAATAAATTGAAAACCTGGAAAGGATTCCCCATTCCAGATGCCAGTAAGAAAATTTGTTATTCATGGAAAGACGTAAAAATACCAGTCTTAACAGGAGTTTGGAAGATGTTGTTTCTAACCCTCATGCATGACTTTTTGGGATTCAAGACTTCAGTGGAGGAAGTAACTGCAGATACGGTGGAAAGAGCAGGAGAACTAGAATTAGAAGCAGAGCCTGAAGATGGGATTGAATTGCTGCAACCTCATAATAAAACTTAAATGAATGAGGAGTTGCTTCATATGAATAAATAATGCAATCTACTCCTGGTGAAGATGCTGTGATGACAACAAAGGGTTTAGAATATTACATAAGCTTAGTTGATAAAGCACCAGCAGGATTTGAGAGGATTGACTCCAATTTTGTAAGAAGCTCTACTGTGGGTAAACGCAATCAAACAACATCACATACAACAAGGAATCATTGGTGAAAGGAAAAATCAATTGATTTGACAAACTGCACTGTTGTCTTTTAAAATATTGCCACAGCCTCCCTAACCTGCAGCAACCACACCCGCCCCATCAGTCAGCAGCCATCGACATCGAGGCAAAACTGTCCACCCACAGATTACTACTCACTGAAGGCTTGGATGGTGATTAGCATTCTTTAGCAATGAAGTATTTTTAAATTAAGGTATGTACCTTTTTAGGCATAATGCTATTGCACACTTAATAAACTACAATTAATGTAAACATAACTTTTATATGCACCAGAAAACCCAAAATAATTGTATGACTAGCTTTATTGCGAAATTTGCTTTATTGCAGTGGTCTGGAACCAAACCTGCAATATCTCTGAGGTATGCCTGTATGAGGGAAAAGGAAGAAGCAGGAGAGTTAGTCTTCTGAATACCCTGGATCCATAAGATTGCAGGTATGCCCAGCACTGTGCGAATGGCTGTGAGGTATGGAAAACTAATATAGAAGGGTATAGTAAGGGAGACAAAACTAGAACTTTAATCAACATAAAGTTATTAAATCGTTAAACATAACCATAGATTCTATTATGCTTTGCCCATCAGAAGCAAAATGAAATAAACAATAGTAAATGCCCATAGCAGGCTTGACTCACAAAGGAAAGTCAATGTAGCTGACTGTCTTTAACTTCTTACCTTATCATTTTAAGAAAAAGGTGAACTGTATCAGGTCAGTTAGTTTTGTAACATAGTTTATCTAATTTCAAAAATAAACCATTTAGCCCTGGCCGGTTTGGTTCAGCGGTTAGAGCGTCGGCCTGAGGGCCAGAGAGACTGGGTTCGGTTCCCGCTAAGGGCACGTACCTCAGTTGCAGTTTGTCCCCGGCCCTGATTGGTCATGTGGGAGGCAGCCACTCGATGTGTCCCTTTCACGTCGATGTCTCTCTCTCTTCCTCTCTCTCCCTTCCACTCTATCTGAACAAAAAATGGAAAAAAAAATGTCCTCGGGTGAGGATAAAAAAAAATAATAATAAAACAATAAAAATTAAAAATAAACCATTTAGCCCTGGGCGGTTTTGCTCAGTGGTTGGAGCATCGGCCTGCGGACCAGAGAGTCCCGGGTGTGGTTTCCGCTAGGCCCTAGTGGTTAGGGGCACATACCAAAATAAATAAATAAATAAATAAGTCATTTGTGTTTTCCTCTTTGAGAGTTAGTTGATTTTGCAATATGGTGATCCATGCAAACAAAGCTCAACACATGAGAGAAGGAATTATAAATATATAGCATACCCATAACCCTTACCCTTCCTAAGTCAAGAGGTGATTATCACTAGTTTGTCTGCAGTTTTTCAGTAGAGCCCTGACTTGAGGCTTACACTCAACATGGTGTTTCCAACAGTCACTACTAAGCAATTGGATGTGTAAGCAACATGGAACCTATCGGCCATTCTTGCATTAGACAGGAGTTGAAATCACTGTGAGTAAGGTTTAAGAGCTGGTAGACTAGACTATGAAGTCTTCATGAATCTTGAGCTTGGCCTTGAAGGATGCGGAGAACAGGACAGATCCAATTTACAGAAAAGAGAACAGTAGAAATGTCACATTAGAGACTTACCATAAGTAAGGAGACAAAATGGGAAATAAGCTTGGCAAACCCGAGACACCAAGAGGACACTGCCTTGCATCATGGAGGTAATATATGATAACTGAACTGGTTCAACTTAACATTATCATCACTGCCAGTAGGGTTCAAAACATTTCACCTTCTGTGGGCAACTACTGGTATTAAAAAATAACAACCCTTTTGCTATCATAAAAATGTTTAATTAAAAAAAATTGTAAGAAACTTTTTGGCTTTGTGTGACAGCTGGTAAAGTTCCGAAAGAGGTGGATAATAGTGATAGTAACAATACAAATTTATTGAAACGTTTTTGATCCTAAGCACTTCACATGAATTCTGCAATTGAAGATTTTAATAGCCTATATGTAGATACTATATTTTCCCTCCATTTTATAGTTGTCTAGGCTCAAGATGATGTCTTCCAAATTTTGTTTGGTTGCTTAAAAACCACTAGCAGAGAAATAGAGAAAAATTAGTCCTATACTTATCAAAATTGTTGAAACAAAGAAATAAAAAATTGTTGGACCTATATATGCACAGAAAGATATTTCTGTAGATATTACTGTAGAAAGATATTTGTTATATACATTTTTACTTGTTTTATTAGCTGTGGGTTTTTAAAAACTTATACATATATGGATTAAAATTATTAATAGATTTTAGAGATAAAAATTTACCTTTCCCCACCTAATTTATCACACTAGCCTCTTTGCAAGTTATTATGGCAATAAAGTATGAATTCATTTTTACTCCTCTTTTAAAAATGATTGATTTGCCGTAGCCAAGAGATGAATAGGTACTTTCCAAGTTGAGATTTTCCTCCTCCAGAGTTAAGGAAATGTAGAATAAGCACTTAGTATGACAATGGATCATTAGAGAATGAAAATATCCTGTCATTATATATTTTATATTTATATAAAATTATAGTAGTTTATATTTTTGTTCAAAGTAAACAGTCCTCAGCTTACCTTCCCGGTGCAGTTCAACAGTTTTAAAGTGCCCTGTGAAACTATTGATAAGTGGAGCTTGAATTCCTCACTGATATTCATTTTAAGAAATTGCTTCAACTTGCGAGCAGCAGTTTTTAAAAACATAGCTTCCTATTACAGAAAAAAATCAGAAGGGCTGTAGTTCAAATAAAATATTAAGAAATGATAAGCTTTCTTAAGGATCCTAAAGCCAGAACCCTATTGCTAAATAATGCCCCACCTCCACCCAGCTTCCTATTTCCAGTTAGTCATGTGACTGACAAGTAACTAGATTGAAACTGTTGAGCTCCTAGGTGACACCCTAAAGGGCTGGAACTTGGTTTAATGATTAGCTGACTTTTAAAATTGTCTTTCTCTGTTATATATGTGTGATCTTATCACTTGTGAGTGAACACATAACAAGTTTATTTAATATTAAGAAAGGTAACCAAAGGAGAGGTCTTCTGGAAACGCAAATAATAAAAGGTATGTGTGGCTTTTCTTACTGTTATTGGGTTTGCACCTTTTTAACTATGGATGAATAGTTGGTAATAGGAAAATAAAGGGTCACACTCACCTCAGACAAGTTTTTCAGACATTTAATGTAATTATAGAAATTTTGAAAAAAAGAATTTATGGATTTATATGATCAGATTCCACGAGGTTAACTCAGCTATTACGTGTTTGAAAGAAGATTGTTAAATATCACCTTGGGTTTTGTGGAAAGAAATCTCACAAACTTTAATTGGGAGTTTTGTAAATTGTATTATTACACCAACTACAAGTGGCAGTGGTGTGAAGATTAGCAAATATTAAAAGAAAAAATTTCTAAATGCCTACAACTACATTATGTCCATAGCATGTTTGTGTGTGTGCAAGCAACCGCCTAACAAGTGTTTCCTGCATAAAGATTTCAGAAATCAGAGATATGTATCTTTGAATTCAGCAGTTCTTCTAGCATTTTAAAAGTGAAAAATAAAATGGTAAAGTAAAACTAAATTCTTATCAAATAAGCACAGGGCTATTTGTAAAATAAAAGTATAAAAGAAGACCACAGTATGACTTAATAAATCAGTGAGAACTATGTGCTTAAAACAAAAGGAATATATTATTACTATAATCAATACAATTATCTAACAGAGATACAAAAAAAGATAATCTTCTATGAAATCAAGCTCAAATGACATATAAACTTCAAATGATTATCATTACCTTATCTTCATCACATGAATGCTTTTTAAAAAAGTTAGGTTCACTATTCCGGCAATTGCTATCATTTTCTCTTATCCTTTTCTGTAATAAATAATATAAAATTAAATTATTAAATTGAGGACTCTTCTAATATGGAGCAATCATAAAAATAACAATGTTATAATACTTGGTAGTTATATGTACATTTTAAGGAAACTACTTTTAGCTTGGCTTTGCTGACTAGGCATGAAGAATAGTTTTCTATAGTTGAAGAATAAAAAAGTATATGTGCAAAACCTCACAGACTAGCTCCCTCCTGACTCCACAGTTTAATCTCAGAAATCCTTGAAAGAACCTGGCTCATGAGGGAAATAGAAGGACCTATTTTAGAAGTTACACTGTATACAGTAAATATTATAAATTTTGAAATGCATTTAAGAGATTATTCGGTCCAGTGGGAATTTATATTAGAATGAAGGGAAACCCTGGAGAGTGAAAGTGAAATAGAAAATCAGTCATTCTGCAGCATTTTTAACAATCCAACTTGTCCAGGATGCCTGAGATAGAAATTTGCTAAGAAACTCTGGAATGGAATTTGTGTGTGTGTGGTAATATAAGAGTGAGAAGGCAGACGGGTACACTCTCATATCTCCTTTTTAAGGAATGTAGTATTCGAAGGTGAGGATTGCTGAATCAAGAACTTAGTGGACATATTAGGAGAAATTCCTAAGGACTCAGATTCCCTGATGCACAGGGTTGGACTAGGTCTGTCTGGCAAACTCAGTCCATGCTATCAGAGCTTCTAGGACTTCAAGCAGTCTTAGCTTGTATGTTGTCACCAGAATAATAGGTGGAGTAATGGCAGGATTTGGTCATGGGCTAATCTTTATCTGCATCTCAGAAAGTTCTTGTCACCTGTGAAAAGCATAGATGGTTTCTGGGCTCATCCTGACCCTAAATGAATATACTATCTGTTTTACCTGCAGGAATTGGTGTCTGAACACATAATTGTTCCCTTAACTAATTCAACACTTACCATGGGCCAATGTGCAAGGTCCTCTACAAAGCCCTACGAGGAATCAAAGATAAGAAAACACAGTCCCAGTTTCTTGTACCATTTGATATAAAGGGCAGATGCATATGTATGTAATATGTACTATAATATATAGTATATATTGTATATAATTTATATTATTTAAATATAGTAACAGTATCCATATCCATACTATAATATATATCATATCATATATCATTTATATATTATACACACACACCTCTCTCTTTGAAAACAATATTTGCAAATTAAACTCTTTTTTAGGACTTGCTTCCTAAGGTTGTTCACATAGCTAGGGAATCAACAGATTCCTACACTATCACTTAATTACTGCATCTGAGATTAGCCAGGCCTCTACAATGACTGATTTCTTAAGAATCTACATGTTTTTAAATGGTAGCATTCCACCCAGAGGTGACTTTACCTAGACAAGCTAGTATAGCAGATTCTCGAGTAACATTATTCCATTATAATGTTGATAAGATGCCCTAGGAACTTAACATTTATTTATATAAATTCACTTAAGATGAAATTGGTTTCCTAATAGGGTGTTTCTCCACAGTTGCAAGAACATTAAGTAAGGACTTACTGTATCAAGATAGAAGTGTGTGTCTGTGTGTGTGTAACATATATGTATATAATCTTCTTTTATATTAATGCTTGTGTTTCTTTAGAATTGGTTCCCATAATTGAGATTTGCTGATGAAAATTGTATATTTATTTTAAAAACAATTCACGCTTCCACCAGCAAATAAGGGAGCCTGTTTTGTGTCATCCTTGCCAGCACCAGATACTAATCTTGACGTGTGACAATCTGTACCTCATTAGAGTTTAAATTTGCCTTTCCATGACTACTGGAGGATGAGCATCATTTCATGTTAATTGACAATTTGCATATCCTTTTTATGAATAGCCTGTTTCTATTCACTTTCTTAGGTTATTTGTCTTTTAAGAACAGTTTGTACCTTTTATATTAGGAAAATTTTAAAACTTCATGTTTTATTTAGGTGCGTCTTTCATATAATGCATATTTTATACAGTTAGACTTCCTTAATTTCATAGTTTAAAATAATTCATATTTGTCAGAATAATAATAATGAATAGTATTTCTTTGTTCCTTTTCATTTGTTTTGTAATTTTGGCATATACATTTTAGTATGTAAAAGAAAACTCTTCTAGAAGTTTTTTCCAAGAATGTATATTTATATTCTCTGCAGTATAAATAGCAAACATAGCTGTTGGTCCTTCTGTAACTATATGCTTTTTAGGTGAAACATGTTATTGTTTTATTTCTATATTTTTAACAACTATCTAGGTTCACTCACCAGTTCACTATGTTATGGTAGTCACTTTATCACCATTTATTCATTAATATCTTATTCAGCTGGACTAATCTTAGAGTCAGATTTTCATTATTGTTTTAGACAAGGAATTTGTACCCTTACGAGCTCTGTGTATTGTAATTTCCTCGCACAGTCAATGAAATTGCCAAGGTCTAGGATCTTGGATTGCTCTTCTTATCACAAATCTCAGTAGAGACTGGTCAGTTGGAGGTAAAAACTGGTGAAAAATTGGAAGGTAACGCAAATTCATTTTCCTTTACTGGGAATCCTTCCTTCCTATCCTTCCAGAAAGGATGCTTGCTTAAACATTTTCTCCTTGGCATATTCCAGTGTTTGTTTCTTTTTATTATTGTTGACTCCTAATCAACAAACTTAATTTTTTAAATATAAAAATATATCTCTTTTCAATTCTGGATTTTCGGCTTCTGTTTTATTTATTATTTTTTCTTCAGAATCATTTATTATTTGTAGATTACCTGTCTGGACTCCATCTGTGGTATCAATTACCTTCTCTTAATTGTATACAAAGTGGGGCAAAAGTAGGTTTACAGTTTGAGTACTCAAAACACAGTTTATTCTTGTATTACTGTTTATTAATTATTGTATTATGTTCCATACAAACCACTGTAAACCTCCTTTTGCCCCACCCTGTATATGCACTAATACACAGACTAATAAGTATGTAGATGTGTGTGTGTGTGTGTGTGATAGAGAGAGTGATAGGAAGAGAGAGAAGAGAGACAGAGAAAGAGATAGACATGGATAAAAAGATAACATTTATAGTTGTGTAGTTCTATAAAGTATTTGCTTTCTTTTGGAGGATTTTATATGTGTCTATGTTGTTACAACATAAAGTCTCTCGTTTTTTTATTATTTATTTTTGAATCCTCATTCAAGGATATGTTTTTATTGATTTTAGAGAGAGAGGAAGAGAGAGAGAGAGAAACATAAATGTGAGAGAGAAACAGCGACCCGGTTGCCTTTCCCATGTTCCCCACTGGGGATCAAATCCACAACCCAGGTATGTGCCCCCCACCTGGGAATCGAACCCACAACATTTGGTCTATGGAATGACACTCAACAACTAAGTCACCCAGCCAGGGCCACTCTCCTTTTTTATACACACATTGTTAGCCTGCGATTTACAACCTTTTTCATCTCATGGCACACATAAATTAATTACTAAAATTCTATGGCACATCAAAAAATATCTTATATTTTTTGCCAATCTGACAAAATAGATATAACTTTGAATGATTTACAAAAATAATAGTAATAGTAATTACCCTTTTTGCTCCAAAGTGACTTTTTAAAAAATCAGGTGCCTATGCTTGCATATAAGGATTTCTGGTACCAAGAAGTACCCAATCTGATGCAACCTTATTATATGCCATGACCAATAAGATGCAATTCTACTACATGACCTATATATTTATAGTTCAAGAGAGGTCATTCATACCAGAAGGCTATTGTTGTATTGGCTGTTGTCATTTTTTATTTATTTATTTGACAATGTAAGGGAAAAAAGGCCAGCACTCCTGACTAAATAATCAGGTTTTGCATGTTCTAAAAATTATTGTGGCACACCAGTTGAAAATCGCTGTTATAAGCCTTTAACTTCCTACCTGATGGAGATGAACTCTCCGAGTACCATTTTTTTTATTTTTTTATCCTCACCCAAGGACATTTTTGCATTTATCTTCAGATAGAGTGGGAGGGAGAGAGGGGGGAAAGAGAAAGAGAGAAACATCGATGTGAGAGAGACACATTAGACTGGTTGCCACCCACACAACCCCAACCAGGGCTGGGAACAAACTGCAACCGAGGTACATGCCCTTAGCAGGAACCAAACCCAGAACTCTCTGATCCACAGGCCGATGTTCTGACTGCTGAGCCAAACCAGCCAAGGCTCAGAGTATCATTTTATTTATGAAATTCCCCATGACATTATCTAATGTGTGCTCTTTAATAAAATCAATCTCTTCCATTTGATATACTCAACTTCCTGTCAAAATCTGTCTCTAGGGATGATGATCTTCATGAAATCATCAGTTTCCTGAATAAAGCTATTTCTCTAGTGACAACCACCAACGTCCCCACTCCTGTTGTAAGAGGGATCGTAGCCTTTATTAAGTCCAAAGCATTTTCCTGGATGTTGGAATTCCAAACACTCCTATTGTGAAGGATGGTGTGGTGTTCCTTTCATCTTACCTGTTCTCCCCTCTTCATTATTTAGCAGTAAGGTGTGTTTTTATGGAACTAATTCCACTCCCACTTCTGGGCTGGCTTTGATGGGTCTAATACTTAGATATTAACTCAATAAAGATGATCCCATCTTCCCTGCCAGAGCAATTGGCTCAAATAACCAAAGTCTAGAGCAATCAGGGCCATGGTTTTCCACTGGTATAAGGTTTGTTTCATAGATAATCTAATCAGAGTGTAGCTAGGACCTTGGTTCCTTAGTTATAGGCAAGACTACGGTCATTCTTCCAGATCTGAAAGAAGCAAGAAATTCTGGTGATTACTGGCAAGCCACTAGCCTGAAGCCAAGTGACACACAGAGAAATGCAGAGTGAAAAGACTTGTAAAGAACTAGGACTCAAGTCCAAGCCACAATTAAAAGCACTCAAATGCTGGACTTTTCAGGCTTGTAAGCCAAGAAGTACCCTAAAATATTTAAATCCGTTTGCGGTCAGTTTTCTGCTTCTTGTAAGCGAAAGTGTACTAATATACCTTCTTGAACCTGTAGGATTTCATAACCAATTCCCTGGATTCGGGCTGCTCTAAAAACAGCCTCCGTTGTGATGAGCTATGTCTACTAATGAAAAGCTGTGGCTTGCTCCTGCTCCATCTTCACATGCCCAGAGGAATTTCATCTTGAGCATTAAAACATCTCCTCTCCTAAGTGAAATTTTTTAGAGCAACTTATTTCCAGCTCCAAAGAGAGGAGAGAGTTTCTCCTCTTTAAAAATAACAACAACAAGCTGTCACGTTTCCTACACCAGGAATGTCCTCTTTCTAGAATGACTGAAACAGCACCCAACACAACAATCACCATCACCATTACCATATACCCCATAATCCTGAATGAAGCAGGTTCACAAACAGACTAAATGGGAAAACCAGTGATACACACAGCTAGTATACAAAGAGGTTTGCC